AATCTTGGCTCACTGCAAGCTCCACCTCCCAGGTTCACGCCATTCTCCTGCCTCAGCTTCCTGAGTAACTGGGACTACAGGTGCCCGCCACCACGCCCAGCTAATTTTTTGTATTTTTAGCAGAGACGAGGTTTCACCGTGTTAGCCAGGATAGTCTTGATCTACTGACCTTGTGATCCACTGGCCTCTGTCTCCCAAAGTGCTGGGATTACAGGTGTGAACCACTGCCCAGCTGGGGACCAAGGTTTTATTATGCAAATGAAGCCTTCATTCAGGCTTCAGAGAGAATGGATTGTAAATATCTCTTATCAGTCTTAAAGAGTCAGTAATTCCAAAAGGGAAGAGGGTATAATCAGGCATGTCTGGCTTCCCCTTCCCATCATGGCCTAAACTAGTTTTTCAGGTTAACTTTGGAATGCCCTTGGCTGAGAGGAGGGGTCTATTCAGACGGTTGGGGGTGCCTTGGAATTTTATTTTTGGTTTACAGAGCACAGGCCCAGAAATGAGAACCAGGTTTAGGTCTTGCTCTCCTACTCTCCACTGTGTGACTTGGGCAAGTCATCTAATCTTTCTAAGCCTCAGTTTTCTCATTTGTAGAATGGAAATAATGCCCTTGCTTACTTCATAGTGTCACTCAGAGGCACAGACGATGGAGAGGCAAAATTATTGTCTTTAACTGCCCTGAAGCTTCAGGGAGGAGTTGGACAAGTACACACACAATGTGTTGCGTACTACACCAGAGGTATGTCTGGGGTGTGGTAGTAGCGGAGTGGAGGTAAACCAGTTCTGCCCAGGAGGAGACTGCAAAGCATGGGGCCTAGTGGAAGTAGCCCTCCAGGGCTTTGGGCTCTAATGTTTCTTAAACAGTGGAGTGTTAACTGTATTAAGTTTCATTTAGTCCCCACAACAAACCTGTGAGATAGGTGTCATCCATTTTACGTATGAGCAGCTGAGGCTCAGAAAGGATCATGCATTGGCTTGGCCTGGTATTTATAGAGCCCCTATTGAATGCTAAGGGGCGCAAATCTAAGTTCCTTCCTCGTGGAGCTCACATTCCACAGGTGAAGTCACTTGCCCAAGACGAGGCTGGAATGTCAGAGCCAGGATTCAAACCCTCATCTGGTGGCTTCTTACCTCACCCTAGAACTCACTAGCCCTCAGGACATCCTCTTACAGGGAGCATAGACTGTCTCTGCCAGCCCCTGTGGGGAATTTGAGGATTTAAGGGCAAGGCTGGGTCAGGGATAGGAGAGGCCCTGCTATTCCTATGGAACCTTCTGTTTCCCGAGCATTCCCTGGCAGCCCTTCCCCAAAGAGAGATTGAAGGCCTGACCGTGCCAATATTTTCCCCAGGGAGGCAGGGCAGGAGAAGCTTCCCCAGGGGATTTCAAGGGAGGATGGAGGTGGTCTCTGTTCTGGGATCAGAGAGTGACACCCTCTTCCTGCTGAGGTGGGGAATCCCCTTGGATTTCTCTGGGTTTATGGGAGAGGCCTATTGTTTTCCTACTGATCAGGGCCTCAGGGGAGGAAAACTCAAGACCTGGCAGGCACGTCATAGGACTAAATCAGCCTCTGGCATCTGAGTGGCTCCTTAGGCTTGCGGCTCATTCCTGCCCTCTCATGCCCTCAGCCTCAGGCTGCCATGGGACCCGTGGCACTGCCACTGGGCAGTGATATTTTGTTTTAACTCAAGGAAATAAGAGATTGGCAAACTCCCTTCTCCAAGGAAAAAAATACAGGATTGTTCATTAGAGCATTTGCTCGTAGTGAAAATCATAGGAAACAATGTAAATGGCCAATGTTTAGGAATTAAATAAAATGTGGTAAAAATGTACATGTAATGAAATACTTTTAATGCAGCCATTAAAACTCATTATGTAGAAGAAAATTAATTTCATGAGAAGAGTGCTTTATAACAGATTTAGTCAAAATTCAGATCATAAAACAATGTACATGATCTCATTTTTAACTCAAGGAAATAAGAAAAAAAATACCTATATGTGTGCATAGAAGAATGTCTAGAAGGATGCATCCGAAGTTAATTGTAGTTATTTCTGGGTAGTAGAATTATACGTTTTCTCCTGTTTTCAATATTTCCAAGTTTCCTTCAGTGAAAATGCGTGTATTTTGTAATCATGGATAAAAAGTTCCCACAGTGTGTATTGGTGAGAGAAGGATTGTTTCCTTTTGGCTTTGCACTTACATGGCCCAAGGCCTTGGCCTTGTTCCAGGAGTGCAGATATTGTAGAAGCCACCGGGAAGACTGGGAGCAGTAGAAGAGAGGCCAGCTTAAGGAGAATAAACTGGGCATCGCTGTCCAGGTGTCATCCTAAATGTCACCTCCCAGAAAGGCACCTGACCACACAACCTGGCCAAAGGAGGTCACTCCCACACTTACTCTTTACATTTCACCCCAGCTTGCTGTCTTCATAGCACCCGTCCGCATCTGAAGTTATCTGCCTGCATATCCATTTCCTTGGTGATTATTTATCTCCTCCACAGAAGGCAAGCTCTCCAAGAGCAGAGTCCCTGTCTGTCTTGCTCAGTTACTTCTCATCAGGAGAAAGCCAGACCTTGGTCAACAAGCAACTGAGGACTTGCTCAGCAGCCCCAAGCTATGGGCATTTATCCTAAGGCTACACACAGCAGTGAGAAAAAGGAGATAACTTCTTAGGAATCTAGAAACAGGTGGAGAGCTGGCTTATAGGACCACACCTGGGTGGTGCTTAGCAACCTGGAGGACCTGGCCCAGTGTTAGTAACAACAGTGGCCACGTACAGGTGTTGAGGAAGTACCAGCTTTGTGTTTTCTCTTAAGGTAGAACCAATGTAGGTTAGATCCCTCTCCCTCTGCTTCCAGCCCCCCTGCTGCCACCAGCCAACTCTATCACTCAGCTGCCAACTTCAGCTCCTCTCTTTAGAGCCTTCTGTAGTCAGGTTCTCACTCCAACCATTCCACTGAATCATCCCTGACCAGGACTACCTGTGACTCCAAGAAGCTATATCTCTGTCTTCATATTATTAAATAGTTGACCTGTCATAGTGGACTATGCCATCCTCCTCAGAAGTCTTTCTCCAGGTTTCCCTCCTACTGTACTTGCTAGTCCTTTTCAGTCTCTTTCGCTGAGCTACTGAATGGGGCTCAGCCCTTGCACAGCTTCCCTATTTTTTTTTCTTTTCTTTTCTTTTCTTTTTTTTTTTTTTTTTTTTTTTTTTTGAGACAGAGTCTTGCTCTGTCACCCAGGCTGGAGTGCAATGGCATAATCTCCGCTCCCTGCAACTGCCACCTCCCAGGTTTAAGTGATTCTCCTGCCTCAGCCTCCCGAGTAGCTGGGGTTACAGACACCCACCACCACGCCCAGCTAATTTTTGTATTTTTAGTGGAGACGGAGTTTAACCAGGTTGGTCATGCTGGTCGCAAACTCCTGACCTCAGGTGATCCACCCGCCTTGGCCTCCCAAAGTGCTGGGATTACAGGTGTGAGCCACTGCACCCAGCTGACAGCTTCCCTATTGACATCCACCCTCTTGGTGATCTCATCCTGTGTCACAGCTTTAAAGAACTATGTGCTGTGCACTCACAAGTACTCATTTCCAGCCTGGACCTCTCCCCAGACTCACAGTTCCACCTGCCTACAGTCTTCTCCACTTAAGTGCCTAAAAGGTATCTCACACTTATGTCCAAAACCACATTCCTTATCTTCCCACAAAACATGCTCCATCTGTAGGCTTCCATTCAGAAAATGGCAATTCCATCCTCCCAGATGCTCAGGCCAAAACTGGGAATCTTCCTGCTACTCCCAGCCAACTCTGTCCTGTAGTTCACAGCTTCACCTCCTTTCTTTTTAACCTGCCCCAGTCAGGTTCTAACCCCATTCTTTTTAATCTCTCACTTCCAATCCATCAGCAAATCCTCCGTGCTACTGCTCTGGTCCAAGCTACCATTGTCTCTTGCTGAGATTTCTGCCACAGCCTCCTGACTGGTTATACTCTTTCTCTCAGTTTATTCTCAACACAGCATCCAGAGTGATCCTGTTAAAATGTGAGTCACATCATGTCACTTCTCTGTAAAAAACCCTCTAGTGGCTCCTGTCTCGGAATCAGAGCCCAAGTTCACACAAGGACCTCCCTTGAATGCTGTGAATACTGTGGAGCCTCTCGCTACCTCTCTGATCCCTCTCCTACTTCTCCCTTATTCGTTCTACTCTGGCTGCACCACCCTCCTCACTGATCTGTTAACACGTCAGACAGGCCCTCACTGCCACGCTGTTGCACTTGCCATTCCCTCCACCTGGCAAGCTTCTTCCCCATTAATTCTCAGGGCTTATGTCCTCACTCTTTTCAGGTAACTTTGTTCATAATTTACCTTCTCAGGTGTCTAGCCTTCTCTGGACACACATTTTATAATTTTGACACCCCTTCTCACCTTCTGCCCCAATATTCCCTACGCCTCTCTCCTGCCTTATTTTTTCTCCCTAGGACTTACCACTTCTGATTCCTATATTTTTAATTTATGTATTTTGTTAGTTTTTGGTCTCTTCACTACAACCACTCCCCACCCTGCCGTCCGGTAGACTGCAGGCTCCATGAGGGCAGGGTGTTACCTTTTTTGTCCAATGCTGTATTCCCAGAGTCCTAGGACAGTGCCTGGCATATATAGGTGCTCAGTAAATAGCTGATGAATATCCATGAAAATGAATGAGGGACAACTTATTTTTTATACAAGGCCTTGAGACAAAATGGAAAGGGCACTGAGGTTTCTGCCAGTATAGGAGCATTAACAGACCAAATGAGAAAGAAACCCTCTGAGTGGAGAATGCACCTGGGTGGAAGCTTGTGCCTGTGTCTGCCCTGGGCCAGCATGCTGCCAACTCACACAGTGGCTTTCAAAGAACTCGCCACAGATGGGCTCTCATCTTTCAACTTCCATCCAGGCTTACTTTGTTCAAAGGCCCACCTTCAGTGCCCTGTTTCAATCATTTACTTTCCTTGTTTTTTGCAGGTACCAGAGTTTGTAGCCCACTGGAGGAAAACACATCAAGGTAAGAAAACAGTAAGACCACGTCTTGTTTGGGACTTCCCAACCCAGCCTTGGAAACTGTCCAAGGAAGACCAGGGTGCTAAGTGTTGGCAGCTGGATAAAGGGAAGGCCCAAGAGACTTTGTGTTGACTTCCTGGATAGAGTGAGAGTCCTGGGGACAGCGAGGCAGCTCAGTATAGTCAGTGATGGCTGTGAGGTCTTTAGACTCAGGAAGACAGCGTTTCACTTGGGAAAATATGGCAGCCTCTCCCAAGCCAGTTGGTTGTGGGCCCACAGCATGGCTCTCCTGCCCTGCCTTCCCTATCTCCTTCTGGGTCTCCCCTTCCTCACTTGCCCAGACGTGCTGCCTGGCCCACTGAAGGCATAGCAGGCTTCTGCAGAGGGTCTAGGGCTTTCTTCTGAGATGGAGTCTTGCTCTGTCGCCAGACTAAAGCACAGTGGTGCAATCTCGGCTCACTGCAACCTCCGCCTCCCGGGTTCAAGCGATTCTACTGCCTCAGCCTCCCAAATAGCTGGGACTACAGGCACACGCCACCATGCCCAGCCAATTTTTGTATTTTTAGTAGAGACGGGGTTTCACCATGTTGGCCAGGATGGTCTCGATCTCTTGATCTCATGATCTGCCCACCTCGGCCTCCCAAAGTGCTGGGATTACAGGCATGAGCCACCGCGCCTGATCTTTTTTTTTTTTTTTTAAAGCAAGACTGGTTTAGTTCAAAAGGTGTATACTAAGATTTTACTAGTATAGGGCTTCTCTGATTCTGTGTTTAATCTCAGTCCAAATTTTGTTAAGATCCTCAGCAAATAAATGGATGTGGGAAATGTGTGATTAGGAGAGAGGCAGCTTTTAAAAATGTGTCTGGCTTTTGACCATGCAATTTCACTTTCCAGAGTTTATTCTAGGAAAATACTCATACTTATGCAAAGTTTATGTACAAAGATAGTTATAACTGCATTGTTTATCATTTACAAAAAGGAAACATCTGAAAGCCCAATAGAAAGGAATTGGTTATTCCACGTTGGCACATTCATACAAGGGAATGTCATTAGGCAGAATGATGAAAATATATATTGATGAGAAAGATATTTGAATGTACCATTTTTTTAAAAAAGAAATGGAAAATCTTACAAACCATTCAAGGAAAGTAACTTTGGACTCAGCCTGAAGGGTTGAAATTGAGCTTAGTCTCTTAATCAAGTTGGGAACTCAGGCAAGTAATGTGATCTCCCTGAACTTGTTTCCTGTCTGTAAATGGGGCACAATAACACCTAGCTTGTGAGGTTGGAAGGATTAAGAGAGATTAACACATCTAAAGGCCTCAGCACAGCCCAGTAGGTGATGATTGCTCAGTAGCTGGGTGCTTAGATGAGACTGTGATATTATTTTTACCTATTTATAAGCCAGGAAACATTCTGGAAATTCATACACCAGCAGTGGAGTTTTCTGACTAATCGAATCATGGATGATTTTTAATATTTTCTTATTTTTCTACAAAGAATATCTCCTGCTTATCTAAGGATGGTATAGTTTTTAAAAAGTGACAATTTAAAAGGTTAAAAAAAAAGTAACAATTTAAAAGGTTTAAAAAAAAAAAGTGCATTTCAGCAGGTAAGTTTGTTAAGTAATCCCTGCACAGAGCTCTAGAGAACTGAGGGAGAGGTGGGAAAGAAAGGGAATAGGAAGAACAGTGGGTAGAGGAAAAGAAAGAAGGGGAGGTCAGACCCCAGGGCTAGTGGCCAAGGAGATGCACCTCAGCGGTAACGCTGGAGCCCCAGCAAGCGTTGTGTGTGTCCTCCCATCCCCTATGATTGGCACCTCCCAGGGGAGCTCCAGGTAGGAGATGGTAACCAAGGCTCATCTGTCCCAGCTTCTGCTGACAATAAACGTGTACAGCCTCTTTTAGCTGCTGAGACAGCCTGACTGTAGCACATCCAGGGAGAGGCCCTGTGGCTCTAGTCCTGGGCCTGGCTCATCCACCTTTGGTAAACCCAGCATTTTTTTCCACGTCCTGAGTAGGAGAGGCAGGGCATCCTAGTGAATTCCCAGAAGTCATTCTGAAAGGATTAGCACCTCTCTTCTTTAGCAGCCCAGTAGGATCTATACCCAAGAGACAGGTCTCCCAAGCAAATACAGGCTGCCAGGAAAGGGAAATGGTGACCACCTAAGGGCTGCCATTCCTGGCTCTCATCCCCACCCACACCCCACCAACTGCCTTAGTGGCCTGTGACATCAGGAGGAACCCTTCCATGCTGATGGTGCTTATGCCCACCTATGCCAGTTCATTGAGTATTCTTAGAGAGACATGACTCTTCTATATAAGCGAATTTTCCAAATTATTAAATTTGATCCCATCACATTGCAGTTTTAAAATTGTACCCATTTTAAATTAATTTCTATTTCATCAAATTTATCAAAATAATACACAAATTCAAAATGGCTGGAAGAGTTGATTTTGAATGTTGTCACCACAAAGAAATGACAAGTGTTTAAGGTGATAGATATGCTAATTACCCTGATTTGATCATGACACACTATATGTATGTCTAGAAACATCACACTGCACTGCAATTATTATGTGTCCATTAAAAATAAATAAAAAATAATGCATGCGTATGGTTTAAATATCAATTGTACTGAGAAGCCCATAATAAAAATCCCTTCCCCACCTTTCGCAGTTTCCCTCTCTATAGGCTGCCTCTTTCAACCATTTACTAATTTCCATTTCTGTTTATACTGTTTTTTGATCTACCAATTTTAGGCATTTGCTGACTTCTTGTGGTAGATGAGGATTGACTTTCCTACAGAACCATCCCCACTTTTCCTCCCTCCATCCTTCCAATAAGAACATAACACAATCTGTGGTTAACTCAATAGTGAGTGTAGACATACTCGTCACTGCTGAGTTATGTAGCATCTTTGAGTTCTGGAAGATTTTCTTATATTATTTCTTTAATAATTTTCTTCCCTCTGTTTTATCTGTTGGATCATCTGGATTAATGTTTTAGTTTCCTTCTGTTTTCTCTCCTGCTTTTCATCTCTTTGCCTTTTTGGTCTATTTTCTTGGGAAACCTTCATTGACTTCATACTCCAATCCTTCTGTTGATTTTTTTTTTTAATTTTGGCTTTCTTTTTCTAATATCCTAGTATTCATTCTTGTTCTGCCTGTTCTTTTTCAAAAATATCACATTCTTTTTTATGCATATACTGTCTCCATCTTACTCTTCTTGAGGCACTATTTATTTTTCATTTGTCCATTTGTCTTAATAGTCTTCTAGTCTCTATTTTGTTTTTGTTTCCAACTGGAGGTGGCAGCAGTGGCGGGGCTGGTTGTTGTTGTTGTTGTTGTTGTTCTTCTTCTTCTTCTTCTTCTTCTTCCTTCTTCCTTCTTCTTCCTTCTTCTTCTTCTTCTTCCTTCCTCCTCCTCCTCCTCCTTCTTCTTCTTCCTCCTCCTCCTTCTTCTTCCTCCTCCTTCTTCCTGCTTCTTCCTCCCCCTTCTTCCTCCTTCTTCCTCCCTCCTCCTCCTCCTTCCTCCTCCTCCTTCTTCTTCTTCTTCTCCTCCTTTTTCTTCTTCCTCCTTCTTCTTTCTTCTTCTTCTCCCTTCTTCTTTCTTCTTCTTCTCCCTCTCTCTGTCTCTCCATCTCTCCTTGTTGGAGGCTTTCCTTAAATGCCAAATATCTCAGTTATCTGCTGGTATTTATTAATGGACCAATAAGAGGCTGAACTAAACTCTGCTTGGGCAGAATTTATCAACTGGGATTTCACTACAGGAAGCAAGCCAGTCTTTTAGTTAACAAGCCTCCAATAAGCACCTTTTTTTTTTTTTTTTTGAGACGGAGTCTCGCTCTGTCACCCGGGCTGGAGTGCAGTGGTGCGATCTTCGGCTCACTGCAAGCTCTGCCTCCCGGGTTCATGCCATTCTCCTGCCTTAGCCTTCCTAGTAGCTGGGACTACAGGTGCCCGCCACCACGCCCAGATAAGTTTTTGTATTTTTAGTAGAGATGGGGTTTCACCATGTTAGCCAGGATGGTCTCAATCTCCTGACCTCATGATCCACCCACCTTGGCCTCCCAAAGTGCTGGGATTACAGATGTGAGCCACTGCACCTGGCCATGAGCACCTTTTCTCTAGAGCTAGGTTTCTCGGCCTTGGTACTAGTGACATGTTGGACCAAAGAATTCCTTGTTGTCAGAGGCTGTCTCGTGCACTGTAGAATGTTTAGCAGCACCAGTGACTTCTATCTACTAAATGCCAGTAGTAACCCCCCTCCCAGAGATGTGATAACCAAAATGTCTGTAAACATTGCCAAATGTCCCCTGGGGGACAAAGTCACCCTGTTGAGAACCACCACCCTGAAGCCATTCTGCTCTCAAGAGAAGCATTCTAACTCCTAGTTCTAGTTATTGATCTCTACATAACAAACCACCCCAAAACTTAGTAGCATAAAACAACCACCATTTTTAGGGCCACTGTCAAGGATTCAGAAGGGCACGGCTCTTTATTCTACAATGACTGGGATGACTGGAATGACTGGAGGTGACTGGAATGACTGGGAGTTGGAACAGCTGGGGCTGAAGGGTCCACTTGTAAGATGGTTGTTCACTTGGCAAAGAGAGCTGGAAGGCTGGGCTTAGCTGTTGAGAGACTACACATGGTGTTTCCAGCACCATGACCTGCTCACTGGGCCTCTTATGAGGTAGCTCAAGTCTCTGGTGTGAGTGTTCTGGCCAGCAAAACAGAAGCTGCATGGCTGTGTATGTCCCAGCCGTGGAAGTCACATAGCTCATTTCCACTGTGGTCAGAAATCCACACAGGTTCAGGGAAGGAGATACAGACCCACCTCTCCATTGGAGAAAAGTCAAAGAATTTGCAACCATCTTTTAAATCCACCATACCCTCATCCAGAGTGATATAGACCTGGGGTGGGGCGGGGCAAGGTAAGTGGGTGGGACATTGAGTCCCACACTTCGTTCTTCAGACTTTTCCCTCCATTTTCATCCCTG